GTATGCCTGTCAGTGCGTGTGTGTGTCAGTATGCCTGTGTGTGTGTCTGTGAATGTGTGTCAATATGTCTGTCAGTATATGTGTGTGTGTGTCAGCATGTCTGTTAGTGTATGTGTCTCTGTGTGTCAATATATATGTCAGTGTGTGCATGTCTGTATGTCGGTGTGTGCATGTCTGTATCAGTTTGACTCTTTGTGTCTGTATGTCGGTGTGTGTGTTGGTGAATGTGTCAGCATGTCTGTCAGTGTGTCAGTATGTCTGTGTGTGTCTCAGTATATATCTCTCTGTCTATGTGTCAGTATGTCTGTCAGTTTATGTGTCTGTGTAAGTATGTCTATCAGTGTATGTTTGTGTGTCAGTTTGTCTGTATATCTGTGTGTGTATCTATATGTTGTCATTTTTTGTATCTGTGTGTTTGTCAGTGTGTATATATGTGTGTGTGTATCTGCAAGTGTGTCAGGTGTGTATATGTGTGTCTGTGTAACTGCATGTGTGTCAGTGTTTGTACATTTGTGGATGTCAGGATGTGTATCGGTGTGTCTGTATGTGTGTCAGTGTGTATCTGTACGTTGTCTTTGTGTGTTTCAGTGTATCTGTATGTTATGTTATTAGTATGTGTGTCAAGGTGTGTATTTGTGTGTCAGGTTGTGTGCATATCTACGTGTGTTTGTGTGTGTATATGTGCATACATCTCAACATTCACACGCTAACACTACACACAAATACACCCCTGCATTCAAGCTTCAGCACAACATACAAATACACGTCTGTGTTAAACACCAGCATTATATGTATACACAACCCTGCATTCAAAAACCAACACTACACATAAATACATGCTTACATTCAAACGCCAATGCCACATACAAACATATTCCATACAAAAACCTGTTTACATTGAAACACACAAAAACAGCTTAGTGCTAAATACAAACCTGCAAATATGGATAAATGGTAGAGCGCCAGCTGTCAAGGCATTGCTGGAGTTGCACAACAGATGGGGATCTACCTTTTAAACATCCTTGCAATAGGGAGGCCCAAAAAAAATATTCTTGCACCTCTCTACTTTAGGTAGCCACTGCATTAAGGGTGATAACGTGTTTGCACGCCTGGGGAGGGTGTACATGGTCCAGGGGGCCCAAGCAAATGTTTTGCCTAGGGTCCAATCAATATTAAAGACGGCCCTGCCCCATCCCTCTCTCTGTCACTAGTCACTCCCTCCCTAACTCTGTCACTGTGTCACCCCCTCCCTCACTCTGTCACTAGTCACCCCCTCACTCACTCTGTCACTAATCACCCCCTCTGTCCCTAGTCACCCCCTTCCTCACTCTGTCACTAGTCACCCCAACCCTCTCTCTGTAACTAGTCACTCCCGACCTAACTCTGTCACTGTGAAGGAAGGAAGGGGTGACTGGTGACAGAGTGAGGGAAGGAAGGGGTGACTAGTGACAGAGTGAGGGAGGTGGTGACTGTCACTAGTCACCACCTCCCTCACTCTGTCACTACTCCCTCCCTCCTTCTGTCACTAGTCACCCCCTCCGTCCCCTACTCTGTCACTAGTCACCCCCTCCCTCACTCGGTCACCAGTCATCCCCTCCCTCTGTCACCTGTCACGCCCTCACTCTCACTAGTCACCCCCTCACTCTAGTGACAGAGTGAGGGAGGGTGGGACTAGTGACAGTAAGGAAGGGGATGACTAGTGACAGAGTGAGAGAGGGGGTGACTAGTGACAGAGTGAGGGAGTGAGTGGGTGACTAGTGACAGAGTGAGGAAGGGGGTGACACAATGACAGAGTGAGGGAGGGGGTGACTAGTGACAGAGTAAAGGAGGTGGTGACTGTCACTAGTCACACCGTCCCTCACTCTGTCACTAGAGTGAGGGGGTGACAGGTGACAGAGTGAGGGAAGGGGTGACTAGTGGCAGAGTGAGTGGATGACTGGTGACAGAGTGAGGGAGGTGGTGACTAGTGACAGAGTGAGTGAGGGAGGTGGTGACTGTCACTAGTCACCACCTCCCTCACTTTGTCCCTAGTCACTCCTCCCTCTGTCACTAGTCACACCCTCCCTCACTCTGTCACTAGAGTGAGGGGGTGACTAGTGACAGAGTGAGGGAAGGAAGAGGTGACTAGTGACAGAGTGAGGAAGGGGGTGACACAGTGACAGAGTGAGGGAGGGGGTGACACAGTGACAGAGTGAAGGAGGTGGTGACTGTCACTAGTCACCCCATCCCTCCCTCTGTCACTAATCACCACCTCCCTCACTCTGTCACTAGTCATCCCTTCCCTCTCTCACTCTGTCACTAGTCACCCCCTCCCTCTCTCTGTCACTAGTCACACCCTCCCTCACTCTGTCACTAGAGTGAGGGGGTGACTAGTGACAGAGTGAGGCGGTGACAGAGTGAGGGAAGGGGTGACTAGTGGCAGAGTGAGGGAAGGAAGGGGTGACTAGTGACAGAGTGAGGGGATGACTGGTGACAGAGAGGGAGGTGGTGACTGTCACTAGTCACCACCTCCCTCACTCTGTCCCTAGTCACCCCTCCCTCTGTCACTAGTCACCCCCTTCCTCACTCTGTCACTAGTCACCACTTCCCTCCCTTACTCTGTCACTAGTCACCCCCTCCCTCACTCTGTCACTAGAGTGAGGGGGTGACTAGTGACAGAGTGAGGGAAGGGGTGACTAGTGGCAGAGTGAGGAAAGGAAGGGGTGACTAATGACAGAGTGAGGGAGGTGGTGACTGTCAGTAGTCACCACCTCCCTCACTTTGTCCCTAGTCACTCCTCCCTCTGTCACTAGTCACACCCTCCCTCACTCTGTCACTAGAGTGAGGGGGTGACTAGTGACAGAGTGAGGGAAGGAAGGGGTGACTAGTGACAGAGTGAGGAAGGGGGTGACACAGTGACAGAGTGAGGGAGGGGGTGACACAGTGACAGAGTGAAGGAGGTGGTGACTGTCACTAGTCACCCCATCCCTCCCTCTGTCACTAATCACCACCTCCCTCACTCTGTCACTAGTCATCCCTTCCCTCTCTCACTCTGTCACTAGTCACCCCCTCCCTCTCTCTGTCACTAGTCACACCCTCCCTCACTCTGTCACTAGAGTGAGGGGGTGACTAGTGACAGAGTGAGGCGGTGACAGAGTGAGGGAAGGGGTGACTAGTGGCAGAGTGAGGGAAGGAAGGGGTGACTAGTGACAGAGTGAGGGGATGACTGGTGACAGAGAGGGAGGTGGTGACTGTCACTAGTCACCACCTCCCTCACTCTGTCCCTAGTCACCCCTCCCTCTGTCACTAGTCACCCCCTTTTTCACTCTGTCACTAGTCACCCCCTCCCTCACTCTGTCACTAGAGTGAGGGGGTGACTAGTGACAGAGTGAGGGAAGGGGTGACTAGTGGCAGAGTGAGGAAAGGAAGGGGTGACTAATGACAGAGTGAGGGAGGTGGTGACTGTCACTAGTCACCACCTCCCTCACTCTGTCACTAGTCCCTCCCTCTTTCTGTCACTAGTCACCCCCTCCGTCCCTTACTCTGTCACTAGTCACCCCCTAACTCACTATGTCACCAGTCATCCACTCACTCTGTCACCAGTCATCCCTTCCTTCCCTCACTCTGCCACTAGTCACCCCTTCCCTCACTCTGTCACTAGTCATTCCCTCACTCTAGTGACAGAGTGAGGGAGGGTGTGACTAGTGACAGAGTGAGGGAGAGGGTGACTAGTGACAGAGTGAGGGAGGGAATGGGTGACTAGTGACAGGGTGAGGGAGGGGTGACTAGTGACGGGGGGTGACTAGTGAGGGAGGGTGTGACTAGAGACAGAATGAGGGAGATGGTGACTAGTGACAGAGCGAGGGAGGTGGTGACTGTCACGTCACCCCATCCCTCCCTCTGTCACTAGTCACTCCCTCCCTAACTCTGTCACTAGTCATCCCTTCACTCTGTCAGTAGTCACCTCCTCCCTCTGTCACTGTGTCACCCCATTCCTCCCTCTGTCACTAGTCATCCCCTCCCTTACTCTGTAACTAGTCACCCCGTCCCTCACTCTGTCACTAGTCACCCCCTCCCTCACTCTGTCACTGGTCATCCCCTCCCTCACTCTAGCAACAGAGTGAGGAGGGGTGACTAGTGACACGGGGGGGTGACTAGTGACAGTGGGGGGGTGACTAGTGACAGTGGGGGGAGGTGACTAGTGACAGTGGGGGGAGGTGACTAGTGACAGTGGGGGGTGATTAGTGACAGTGGGGGGTGATTAGTGACAGTGGGGGGTGACTAGTGACAGTGAGGGGAGGTGACTAGTGACAGTGGGGGGGGGTGATTAGTGACAGTGGGGGGGTGACTAGTGACAGTGAGGGGAGGTGACTAGTGACAGTGGGGTGACTAGTGACAGTGAGGTGAGGTGACTAGTGACAGTGGGGGGGGTGATTAGTGACAGTGGGGGGCACTAGGTGACAGTGGGGGGGTGACTAGTGACAGTGGGGGGGGTGACTAGTGACAGTGAGGGAGGACTATGACAGTGGGGGGTGACTAGTGACAGTGTGGGGGGGGATTAGTGAGGTGGGGGTGATTAGTGACAGTGGGGGGGATTAGTGACAGTCGGGGCATTAATGACAGTGGGGGTGATTAGACAGTGGGGGGGTGACTAGTGACAGTGAGGGGGGGGGTGACTAGTGACAGTGGGGTGACTAGTGACAGTGGGGGGGTGGGATTACTAGTGACAGTGGGGGGTAACTAGTGACAGTGAGGGGGGGTGACTAGTGACAGTGGGGGGGTGACTAGTGACAGGGGGGGTGACTAGTGACAGTGAGGGGGTGACTAGAGCCTACCTGTCTCTCTGCTCCTTGTGGTCTCCCCGGCTGCTGCTCCTTCCCCTCGCTGGGCTCTGTGTGAGAGGAGTAAACAGGAAGTGATGTTGTCCCCGCCTCTCCCATCACACAGAGCACCGCGGGACAGGGAGAAGGAGACCTGGCAAAGAGCTGGTGAAGCTGCCAGGTCTCATGGGAGGAGGGTGGATTTAGAGAGCGGTAGGCTGTGGGGCCCCGCGCTGCATCAGGGGCCCCACAACCTATCATTTAAATAGTTTTATTTATTTTTTCGTTCCAGCTGGAGAGATCTCTGATCTCTCCAGCTGGAGCATGGCTGTGCCGTGCGGCCGGGCCCCTGGCTGTCTCGGGCCCTCGGTCCATGACCGATATGCCCGAGTGGTCAGTCCGCCCCTGGAAGGATAGAGTAGCTGTGATACTGCTTGAATAATAGCCACCTTAGCCTACACCTCTTAGAAGCATACTGTATTGCCAAATTGAAAGGGGAAAAAGAAAAATCAACAATATACACACAAAAAAACAACATCCATGGGCATCAGCAGGGCTTAGGAGATCTGAGACAGCTGGTTGCGGCAGGAAAGCTTCCGATATCAGAGGTGGAAAGTCCGCATGGAGGTAGAAAGGCTTCCCCACTTAGATTGTTCATCCGATACCAAGAATGGGGAATTGTAGCAGTGGTGCAGGGTGCTTGCGGATAGTAGTAGGAAGCCAGTGGCGAGCCAGGCTCCAGACCTGAACGAAGGTCGGCATCACTGAGCCACTGACTCGGGGGCTCCTGGAGTCCAAGTCTTTGCCTATTGGGGAAAAGCTAAAGACCTTGGTGATCCTTCGCCGCCCGCAGCGATCGGTCTTCTGCTTGTGGATGATGCTCGGGGATTGTGCCGCTATTGGCCTTCGGCCTAGACAGGCAAAAGTTGAGAAGAACATTCTTCTTTGCTGATGTTGCGCCCGAAGATGTCCCACTCACTCTCTTGTTCCCACATCTCGGACCACCCACCAGATCTCGAGACAGAGTTCCAGAAGCGGTCAAGTAGCTCCTCTAACCGCCTCCATGTCCTTTTCGTAGGCTGTAATGGCTTATGTTCCGAGGCTGGTATTACCGCCATCTTGGGACACAAGCTTCTGACACTGATGCAGTTGCGGCTTTCAGGCTTTAGTAGAGGTCAAGGAGCAGGCTGATGAGGACTGGGATAACCCCCACTGATCCAAAAGGGGGGTAGGTTTAGGTCTGTGCAGTTCGTCGATGAGGGACCAATGCTGCGGAACGAGGGAGCGGCCGTCTCTCCCGCCCAACGGCGTGGTAGGCCTCACTGGAGCTGTCCGGACTCAATCTCCACAGATTCACAGTGCACTCTACAGAGAGCACTCCCAGCAGTGCAAGAGGCAAGAGGTCCTTGAGTTGGGCCAGTTGTGGATATTGGGAGTCAGTATGCGCATTAATTGCCAGGAGTAGTTGAGGAGCTCTCAGAAAGTGCAACTGATCTACATGATGGTTAGGCATTGCCCCCACGACAATTGCATAATGTTGTGTCAAGGAAACAAGTTTTAAAATAGTTGAATTTTGGGAGTCAGGGAAGTGTCTGCTTAGAACTTGGAAAGTACAAATAGAGAAAATGTTGAGTGTAGTGTTATGGAAGGAACAGTTTTGGTGGGCATGATTGGTGATAAATTATCAGTGAGGTGTGAGTTTGTTAAGGTATTTGTACATGGAAGAAAAAGGCTCGGAAATTAAAGCCCTGGCAGATATCAAACCAGTGGTCTTCTAGCAACAAGGAGACAGCATGTAATGAAAAAAAAACACATTAAAGAGGGTGTGATAAGTAATTATATCAATTTGCTGTGGTTATAAAGTATTGACCTAGAAGAAAATAATTGCTGTTGTCTAGCTTGCTAACGTAGGAGTGGATTTATGCAGTGGGAAAAGTGATGAGCAGACTGATATTTGGAAATATCAGATTTGGAGGTAATATAACAGATATGTGTTTGTTGAATATAAAGAAATATATGATAATACCTATTACACAAGCTGAAAATTTTGTACTGGAAGTATGTTTTATAGTTACTGCTGATAGACATCACAGACAAGGAAGTGCATCATTTGTACCTTTTGGGTATAGGGAAAGCTGAATGGTAAGAGTTCCTCTTTGATTTCCCAGTTACATAATGCTGCCTACTGTTATATTTCCAACTAAACAAAAAATAGAATTCAAAATAAAGCCCATTATTTTTTCTCTGTCTAATACAGCGATGTTGTTCCTGTTGATTGGATCCATAACTGGACCCAATCGCTATTTCAATGGGTGTACAATTAACGCCCCACAACAAATTGTTAAAGGGACACTATAGTCACCAGAACAACTACAGCTTATTGAATTTGTTCTGGTGAGTAGAATCATTACTTTCAGGCTTTTTGCTGTAAACACTGTCTTTTCAGAGAAAATGCATTGATTACATTACAGCCTCAAAAACACAAAGAAATGTAGCGCTATATATAAAATAAAGAATTATTACAGACCCAAAGGGTATTCCCACCAGGACCACTATTAGTTGTAGATGGTAGTCCTAGAATATAAAATAAACTCCAATAGCGTAATATTGTAATGCATAAAAGTCCTTATTTATAATGCATATGGAATAGCTCACATTCTTCTGAGCTATTTGCCAAGCTCAGGGATAGAAAGCTTGTAGGTCCGTAAAGGCGACCTCCCTTCTTTAATTCAAGTTCTAATGGTCTTTTCCAGTGCTCACTGAAGCTTAAACAAAGAGAAATATATGGTGCAGTATATTCAGGAACTGGAGTCAATTTTAAACGTAATGGTGATAAATATACTCACAAAGGTGGAGCCACGTATCGGCTCTCTTGCACCACGTTGTGTAGTTTGGGACTACACTCCCATATGCAGGAAACCGATAGCCCAAATAGTATATTAAAAAGGAACTTTATTAAATAATATATAAAATTCTACTGGCCATTTAACATATAAGAACTCTAAAATAAATACAATACTTAAATACTGGGCATAAAGGTGATCTGTCAAGTCCCCAGGACGCGTTTCGACGATTTTCCTTCGGGTTCCTCAGCTGGGTGAATCTCTAAAATGCATCCAAACATTCAGTGTCTCCTCCCTCTGCATGCAGACACTGAACTTTCCTCATAGAGATTCATTGATTCAATTCATCTCTATGAGGAGATGCTGATTGGCCAGGGCTGTGTTTGAATCATGCTGGCTCTGCCCCTGATCTGCCTCTTTGTCAGTCTCAGCCAATCCTATGGGGAAGCATTGGGATTGGATCAGGCTACCACTGCTGCTGATGTCAGCAGACTGCTTGGTTTTTTTTTGTAGGCAAACCGCATGCAGATCTACAGCTTCTGGCTTGAATACAGTAAGATTTTGCTATATTTATGGAGGCATGAGTGGGGCTAGATGGTGGTTTTAACATTTTAGGGTCAGGAATACATGTTTGTGTTCCTGACCCCATAGTGATCCTTTAATAGTAGCAGCACATTGGAAGGAGTCTATTTATGGATGGACCACCAAACTAATGAAATGTAGGTAATTTGATTACTTGTCAGTAATAATCAAGGGAGCACTCTAACGTTAAAAATATTTATTTTTTATTGTTAAGAGTGTTGCTTTTTCCCATTTCTCATAAAAAAATGTTAGAATTTTTCCATCACCAGGACAGTCTCTATTATATGCAGTTCCATCGCCTATGATTTAGTAATCAGTCCTGGGGACATAGGTTGGTTTGCACACATAGAGTTTTGCATTACCGTTTCATTCCTGTTAGAATACAGATGAACTATAATGTACCCAAGCTTTTATTCTTATTGTGTCTTAAGACGATAATTTTGTTTTATAACCATAGAGAAGAAATAGCTCCAATATAAATGTAACGTCTAGCAAGGTTATTTGCCAAAGTGAAAACTATAGGAAATTCAAAAAGAATTCAAAGTCAATTTCAAATTTAAGGCCAAAGTAAAAAGTTAGACATACTTCCAATTCAGCTACCTTCACCTAAACTTTTAATTCACTTTGCGTTCACTTTTAATTTTTGAAAAGCTCTCACTATAGAGAATAACCCTACACGTATTATCTTTCTTTCCTCTTCTACACCTGAGGCCAACTCTAACAACGACAACCACCTCAGCCTGGTGAAATTTGAAGATTGGAAGCCAATTAAGTTTTTGTAGGAAGGTTTGGGCATGAGCCAACAAGGACATGAGGAACGGTTAAACTAGAAAGATAGATTAATATGGATGGGACAAGTGATCGGGAGTTTATGTAACCAAGCCTGGTGTAGATGGGGTGCATAATGAGCTTTTCAGAGGAGAAGGTTAGTAATGTGCCGATTTTCATAACGAAGAGATGAAAGTGACAGACAGATGTGGAAGAGCATGACTGCCACCTAGTGCATTTGTTACATAATTGTCAACTACATTACAGTAATTTAATCATGATTTACAGAGTTGTTTACTAAATTCATGATTAAAGAGCACCCCATCATGCCTAAAAAAAACAGGAAGCATGTGTTCCAACTCATCGTGCAAACTACCACTCCCCCCAACCGTCTAACAAAAATAGCTAAAAGCTTGTAAACCTTCCCCCGAGACCTAGCAACTGCCACAGGATTACGAGCATGACGCCAATGGACAGGGCCGGACTGGGAAAAAAATTAGGCCCGGGCATTTTTCAATCAGAGCGGCCCCCTAAGAAGGGGGCGGGGCCAGAGAGTGTGTGTTTTGTCATCACTAATGACAACACGCCCCCTCTCAAAGTGAGCATGTTGGTTCAATGCCCAGAGCCCTGCTGAAGAGCTCTGGCATTAGAAAAAGGCCCTGAATTTGTTCTGCGCAGCGCAAGCAAATGAAATAACATGCTTGTGCTGTGTTTGCTTTTAAATTGTCTCTGGTGTCTCCACAAGTGGGATACCAGAGGACAAATGGAAAGTGCATGGTGCATGTGTTTGGAGCCTGCTTGTGGGATTGCGTGTGTGTAGAGTGTGGTGTGGTATTGTGTAAATAGGTCAATTTAATTTGTGTTTGTGGTGTAATATGTGTGGCTAGGGGCTGTAGAGAGTGTGTGTATAGGGGGCATAGTTTTATAGGGGATGCAGCGAGTGTGTGCATACGGGCTGAAGTGTGTGTGTATAGGTGACGTAGTGTGTGTAGGGGTTGCAGAGAGGGTGTGTTTAGAGAATGTTGTATGTGTTTGCTGACAAGTAATGTAGTGTGTGTGTAGGAGATCTACTGTGTAAAGGACCCAGTGTGTGTGTGTGTGTATAGAGGATAAAGAGTGCATATAGAGTAAGGGATCTAGTGTGTATCTGGAGCGTAATGTGTGTAGTGGTGCAGTGTGAGGGGTGCTGTAGTGTGTGTGTGTGTGTGTGTGTATATGTATATATATATTTGGACTTATTGTATGTGTGAGGGGCGCAGTGTGTGTATGTAAGAGGGGTGCTGTGTGTGAGGGTGTTTTTATCTGCTGTCACATTCTAGGTTTCTAATTTTCTTTGTCTGTTAACTCACTGAGGGTTATTTTATATATATATATATGTGTGTGCTGTATATGTGTGGGAGTGTGCTGTGTGTGTCTGGGTGCTGTGTGTGTCTGGGGGGTGCTGTGTGTGTCTGGGTGCGCTGTGTGTGTCTGGGTGCGCTGTGTGAGTCTGGGTGCGCTGTGTGTGTCTGGGTGCGCTGTGTGAGTCTGGGTGCGCTGTGTGAGTCTGGGGGTGCTGTGTGTGTCTGGGGTGCAGTGTGTGTCTGGGTGCAGTGTGTGTCTGGGCGCTGTGTGTGTCTGGGTGCTGTGTGTGTCTGGGCGCTGTGTGTGTCTGTGTGTGTCTGGGTGCGCTGTGTGTGTCTGGGTGCGCTGTGTGTGTCTGGGTGCAGCTGTGTGTGTCTGGGGGTGCTGTGTGTGTCTGGGGCAGTGTGTGTCTGGGTGCGTATGTCTGGTGTGTGTGTCTGTGGGTGCAGTGTGTGTCTGTGGGTGCAGTGTGTGTCTGGGTGCGCTGTGTGTGTCTGGGTGCGCTGTGTGTGTCTGGGTGTGCTGTGTGTGTCTGTGGGTGCAGTGTTCTGGGTGCTGTGTCTGGGTGCTGTGTCGGGGGGTGCTGTGTCTGGATGCTGTGTGTGTGAGTGAATGTATTTTTTTATTTAAATTTAAATATTTTTTTTTACTAATAAAAAAAAAAAAAATTATTTCCCCCCCTCCCTTCTTACCTTTATCCTGGGAGGGGGGGGGAGCCGTGCCGTTCTGCCATGAGGAGGGGAGCCGTTCTGCCATCCTTCCCTGGTGGCTCAGTGGTGAGAGTGAACTCTAACCCGCAGGTTAGAATTCACTCTCGCGAGATCTGAGCGTTGCCGCGGCAACGCTCAGAATCCCGCAAGAGGACCCGGCGGAACTGCTTGTTTAGAGCTCCGCCGGGTCCTCTCTCCTGCCTCCCTCCCTCCCCAGCCGGCGGCCGCATTTCCATGCCTGTGGGCTGGTGAGGGAGATCTTTGATCTCCCCACCGGCCCATGGAGGCACACAGCGGGGCCGGCGCTCGGGTAGCGCTGGCCCTGCACGGGCTGGCAGGGGAGATTCTGTGATCTCCCCTGCCGGCCTCGGCCATCGCGGCCCACTGGGCATTTGCCCGGTGTGCCCGATGGCCAGTCCTGGCCTGAAAGAAACAGGGCATCATTGTGCAGCAACAGGAGAGAGAAACCGACACCGGAGCCTGCTCTGCATGATTACACTGAGCAGACTCCCTCTCTTCTCCCCCTGTCAAGATGTTGCAAAGTGAAGAGATCTTCCAACTGCGTAAATCTTTCCAAATGTGTAAATCTGTTAGGCATGTCCAAAGCACGTTTTCAGCATTCTTTGGGATAGGACACTGATTGGTTAGAAAAGAAGAAGCAGATAAACATGCAAAAACAAATCCACAAAGGCTACAGTTATCTCAAAGTAATGCATAATGCACAATGTTTCTTTAATTGTAGGTGGGTAGACTTGTCTGAGTTTAAACTGCAGCTTGAGAAGGTGTAACATTCCAAGTTTGTTCCAATATTTTTTGAATGAGTTATTAAAAAAAAGGATAGCAAC